TGGAAGCTATTCAGTATCCTAAAACATTTTTTTAAACTAATTTATTTACTTGAGGATGGGCCTCACTGTATAGCACAGGGTGGCCTTGAACTCTCTATAGAGCCAGACTTGTCTATAGTAGCCAAGATTCACGATCCTCCTGCTGTTGCCTGCCAGGTCCTGGGATCCTTGGGACAGTCACATCACAGAAAGGGCCTGCCCCTGGTGTACAACACCCTCTCCTTTGCCTAGAAACTTCTTCCTGCCACACCTCAAAAACTGACACTCCTAGAGCTTGCTATTCCTTTGTGAAAAGGAGAATTTTATCACCAGAAGGGGTCTTGCTGTCATGGGAGCCACCTGGCTCTGATAGCTGGGAGAACGGTCAGTGTCACGGAGTTGGATGGGCAAACCCTGTAGCCTGTTTCCTGGCAGTACCAGGCTGGATTTGTATAAATGTCCCCCTACCAGGTTCCAGTATCAGTGAAACCATCTCTGTGGGTACACATGAATGGACTCATCACTCTCAATTCTTTCCCCAGTTAACCAGCTGAGGACCATGTCTGCCAGGCCCATAGTGGGGTCTCATCCCATGTTCACTTTTCATCCCTTTGGCCTCCAGAGTCACAGGAACCACTGAATGAGAAGCCCCGAGAAGAGGACTTGTGAAGACGGTCAGGACTTCACCATTGGGTGTTTGAGAGGATCGCCGCTAATGCCTCTGTGGATAAGTCTAGATTCTGAGAGGTGAGGAGTGAAATCAAGAAATGACCAACCTCGTGTATCTGTAGCTTTTTGGGGGTCAGTTTTACACAGACTAGAGTAATCTGAGAAGAGGGAACCTCAACTGAGAAATGTCTCCATCAGATTGACATGTAGGCAGTTATGACCGATGTAGAAGGGCCCAGCCCACTGTGGGTAGTGCCTCTGGTCAGGGGGTCCTGGGCTGTATAACAAAGCAAACTGAGCAAGCCATGAGGAGCGAGCCAGTAAGGTTCCTTCCTGGCCTCTGCTCCAGTTGCTGCCTCCAGGTTCTTCCCTTGAGTTCCTGTCCTGACATCCCTCAATGGCAAACCATGATGTAGACATGAGAGCTGAATAAACCCATTTCCCCAGGTTGCTTTGGCCATGGAGTTCCTCACCCTAATAGAGTGCAAACTGGGGCACCTCTCCTTGAGGTGTGTTTCCTCTTCCTCTAACCCATTCATACTTTTTACCATGGTAGAAAATGCAAACCGCAAAGGCCTAAGTGTGGTTTGTGTCAGGTGCTTGCCTGGTATGCCTGGAGTTCCAGGTTAACCCCCTGCCCCACAAAACCAACAAGAGAGAAAGCAAACACAGATGGCTGCCTTGTGAGGGCCCGTAACATGCAGCTCGGAAAAGCCTGGGAAGCGGTGATCCACCACGGAACCTGTTCACGTGCTTGGGGACTCTGGGTACCAGAATCTTTATGACTCTTTCGATGTCTCCTATATGTTCAAACACAAGAGGGCTTGCCGAGGTTATTTTTGAGACAAGATGTCTTAGCTGATTTTCTAGTTTTCTAGATGAGCCTGTACACACGCGTCTACCTCTGAAAGGTAAACTCCAGTTCAGTTTTATTTATTTATTAAAAGAATATTTTACAGTGGTGTGTGTGTGTGACACACATGCACTCATGCACGCGTGCGTTCACGCTTGAGAATGTACCCTGGTCACACATGGGTGGAGTCCAAAAGATGACCCACGGCAGTCAGCTTGCTCATTCCACCTTGGCGCTCCAGGAACCAAGCCTGGGCCATCAGACTTGGGTAGGAGCACCTGTGCCTTCTCAGATACTTCTACAGCCCCTCTTCCCAATGCAGGCTTCTTAAATCTCTGATTAAAGAAAAAGACATAGAAGTATAAGGTTGGAAAATGTTACAATCAACTACTAGGTTGATATCTACTGATCAGTTACTAAATTCATGAAAACATTCAGTTTCTTTGTATATAAACAACAATTTGCCTTAGCTTATTTACAGTCATATTATGTACAGAAAAATTTGTCTGCATTTTAAAACTTATTATAACCACATTCCTTGCTATTACATGGATGTTCATCAGTGTCTCATGGCAGTGGGCTCCCCGTAAGTGGCATGCTGTGTTACACAGTTCAGACTTCATTTCATGGGGCCCACCTCCTTCCTGAGCAGTTATTGGCAAACCATGGCTGCTAGAGGCTGGAGAGTAATTTTTCACTGAGGATGTAGCCGTTGGTGGATTGTCCATGCTCCAGTGGACAGACAGGCAACACTAGCTGGGCTCAGTGAGTCTTGGAGGAGGAGGACAAAGAGGAGGAGGAGGAGGAGGAGGAGGAAGAGAAGAAAGAGGAGAAGGAGGGGGAGGGGGAAAGGAGGAAGAGGGGGAGGAGGAGGAGGAGGAAGAGGAGCAGGAGAGGGGCTGGAGGGACGCTCCGTTAGAGTGCATTGCTGATCTTACAGAAGACCCAGGTGTAGTTCACAGCACACATGATAGGCTGTCCACAGCCACCGGTAACTCCTGCTCCAGGGAACCCGATGCCTCTGTCATCTCAGGTAGTTGCGTTCACATGCACTTACCTTTTTTTCAAAAAACCCAGAAAAACATGAAGTTGGGAGGAAAATGGGCTGGATTGGGGTTGGGGTAGAAGTAGATATGATCAAAATGCATTGTGTGCACATAGAAAATTCTCAAAGAACACGCACATGCACACACATACAGGCACGTGCACTGGCGCACGTGCACTGGCGCACGCGCACGCGTGCGCACACACACAGGCACATGTGCACACACACAGGCACACACGTATGCATACACAAACACACACACGTACACACTCACACTGCCGTCTCACCTTGAAGGGCATCTGAATTACTAAAGGACAGACTGGCTTTGCAACCTTGAACACCAGTCACCTCCCACAGTATCCTATCAGCTCTTTAAATCTCAACCCTTGTTGATAAAGGCAACAGCTCGTGGGTCAACCACAACGCCAGTTCAGGTCTTCTGACGTCACCGCCAACGTTCACGATTGGCTTGCCTCGTGGGAACGAATTTGGAACAGCTGTGCCTGCTTCAGGCTTGTAGCCGTAGTGCACACTCCCTTTGCCAGGCAGGACTTTATGAGCATTGCAGGGTACTAGCAGATTGAAGGTCAGAGTTTGGTTTCCTGCTGGAAGTGTGATAGTACATCCTGACTGTATCTGAAATACGCATCCTCTCACAGAGAAGAATGGGGCAGAAGGAAGAGGTCATTGTTAAGTGAAGTAACGGAATTCCTTTAAAAAAAAAAAACTAATTTTTATTTAGAATTATGTGTGTGTGTGTGTGTGTGTGTGTGTATGCTGTATGTGAGTGCAAGTGCCTGTGAAGGCCTGAAGATGCCATTGGATCCCCTGGTGCCATCGGGTCCTGAAGATGCCATCGGATCCCCTGGTGCCATCGGGTCCTGAAGATGCCATCGGGTCCATTGGTACCATTGGGTCCTGAAGATGCCATCGGATCCCCTGGTGCCATCGGGTCCTGAAGATGCCATCGGGTCCACTGGTACCATTGGGTCCTGAAGATGCCATCGGATCCCCTGGTGCCATCGGGTCCTGAAGATGCCATCGGATCCCCTGGTGCCATCGGGTCCTGAAGATGCCATCGGGTCCCCTGGTGCTAGAATTATAGGTAACTGTGAGCCACCCAATGTGGGCACTGAGAACCAAAATCAGTCCTCTGCAAGAGCAGCAAGAAGCCCCCTTTTAAAGTAAGCTGAACAAACCCCCAAATCTCGTTCTTCCTCACTAAGGAAACCATGAAGGACACCTGAAGCACTCACCCTGGTCCTGGTCCCCCATTCCACCCTTAGCAACTGGACTTTTTCAGTATGGCCAGTTTTGTTCTCTTTGTAGCAATGGCTTTTCCGTTCTGCGCCCCAGATGTTGCACAGCTGTCTCATCCTCCGGGTTCAGATTCGCTGTGGCCTTCCCGGGGCACACCGCCCCCCCCTCCTGACTTCACCCTCCCCCGGACACCCCCTGTGCCCCTTTTCTGCTCTCAGCCTCCCGGCCTGCATCCCCCCTTCACACATTCCATGCACCCCCCCCCCCCCCCCCCCCCCCCCCCCCCCCCCCCCCCCCCCCCCCCCCCCCCCCCCCCCCCCCCCCCCCCCCCCCGCTTTTTCCCTGACTGTTAAGTCCATCACCCAAACGCAAGCCCCACAAGCTCTCTCTGTCTTTGCTGGCTCCCTGTTTCCTCCACCGAGCACAGCATGTGGTGCAGAGTAAATTTTTGTTGTTGTTGTTGTCCTTTCTGGGGTGACTACTGCCGGGCTCCTAGTCACTGCGGGTTCGTATGTTCCCCAGAGTAGGAGCGTGAGGATCAGAATTATTAGGCAACAGAGGTACAGGAGAAATAAGGGTCAGAAACATGGGATAGTATCGGGAGGGAGCTCCAGTGAAGACTGAAAATTCACCTGTGTTTAATTTCCATTTTGTTTAAATACCCTGATCCCCAAAGGTAGGAGTAATATGTAAAAAAAAAAAAAAAACCTGCATTAACATGATACAAGGAGTATTCTTAGTTAAACATTTTGTTGCCAGAACGAGTAACGCTCACACCCTAGACCAAAACATTCTATAGACAAACCACTCCCTGGGTGGAATCCATAGTTAAATCCCTAAGAGAGTAGGAACCTAGTTGGATTTTTAGACTTTTGTTTGAGGTAGAAACAGATGTACTTCTTGATACCTGAAATACGAGGTCTGGCTATTAGCCACACCTGTAGACAATAACCTTGAAAGAAGTTCCAACTCTCTGACCAGTTTGAGAGGAGTGAGACAAGTTCTCACAAAGCAGCCCCAGCCCGCGAGAATTCTCTAGTAGACCAGAAAGAGCCTGTTGCCTCTGCCCCTGAGTGCTGGGATTAAAGGTGTGCAGTACCACATCTGGCACTATAGAGTTTTTGGTTTTTTTTTTTTTTTTTTTTTTTTTTTTTTTTTTTTTTTTTTTTTTTTT